AGTCATAAAACGATAACACTTCAGGTACAATTTCTTTGTATGATATTCTCACACAACGTAACGCAACATCAAACAAATATATGCCTTTTCCCGATTTACACATCTCACTGACTATACAAAGTTTCTTTTTTTTTGGATAAAATGTGAAATTTTTATTTATCCAGTAACTGTAATATACATGAGCAGCAATTTGCTGCTACAATCAATCAAATAATACTCAGCACAACTCTGTTGCACTCAACTCTTTACAACAGCCTCAATCCCGCATCTTTTTGCAATATCCATGGACAAAGGGGAAGTTTTAGGCTTAGCAAAGCCTAAAATTTTATTCCTGACATCAAACTGAATATCTTGAACAATTTTTTCCATTGAATGAAAGCTTTGTTGATGAACTCGCCTATTCCTTTCTCTCCAAATATGGGAAACTGCTGTAGTCCATGACAACTTAATGAGAATAGTGTATAGTGACTTCCTTCTAACTTTCTTCCCCATCCATGCTAATAATTCTTGCCATGTATCAGTGAAAGGAATTCCTACCATTTCACATAATTTGTGCCAAACTTGCTTTGTGTAGCTGCACTTAAAAAAGAGGTGTGCACTTGTTTCTGCCTCAGAATTGCAAAATAGACATGTATCATTTATGTTGGCTGCCCATTTCTTTTGCCTAGCTCTTGTAGTCAATCTATCATGTATTGCCAACCAACTAATGAAGCTGTGTTTAGGGATTGATTGTGAGAACCAAACCAGTCTATGCCATGGGACTTTGTCCTGTCTTTCCCGTAGCCAATGCCATGTACTTCCTGTATTGAAAGTGCCTGATCTAGACGGTAACCAGATTATAGAATCCTTTACCCCTTCCTTTGGGTAGAGCTTATCAAAAAGGGCCATTTGGATCTGAACAAGCTGTTGGGATCGAGCTAAAGGCCAATTCCAGTAATTTCCTTGCACAACAGTTGATACCTTTGCATTGTATGGCAGTCCTGAACTCTTCATGACGCTATCACCATATACATCTATTAAGGGACCTGAAGGGTGCCAATGATCTAACCAAAGAAAGGTATCCTCCCCATCACCAAGTGAATGCAGCATAAGTTTCTTGGCTTGTGGTCTGAGTTTAAGCAATTTTCTCCACCCCCAGGATGCATCATTTGGGATTTTTACTGACCAAAAGCTTTTGCCTTTTAAAAAGTAAGCATGAACCCAAGCAACCCAAATAGAACCTGCTTTGGTAAATAGCATCCAAATGAAACGCAAAATACAGGCCTTATTCCACTGAACCAAACTTTTGATCCCTAGCCCACCTTCTTGTTTCGGATAACAAACAGAAGGCCAATTTACCTTTGCTCCCTTCGCATTATTAGCGGATCCATTCCAGAGGAAAGAACTGCATAATTTCTCCACCTCTTTGATGACTCTCTTTGGTAAGATGAAAGTAGAGCACCAAAAATTAGAAATCCCTTGAATAATAGAGGTAATTAACTGCAATCTACCAGCAAACGACAGATGTTTTGAGGCCCATGAGTTCATTCTGTCCGTGATTTTAGAAATCAAAGGCTTTAAGTCTTTATCAGTTAGTCTTCCAGTGATGAGAGGTACACCTAGGTACCTGACAGGTAAACTTCCAGCCTTGAATCCATAGGTAGCAGTGAGATTTTGAACAGCAAGCAAAGAAAGACCACAAGTAAAAATTTCTGACTTGGAATAATTCACTTTAAGGCCAGAGACAACATAAAATTCCTTAAGAACACAGTCAATGGCAGCCACAGAGGATAAACTACCATCAGTAAAGATAATAAGATCATCCGCAAAGCAAAGGTGTGTCAATTGTACCTTGACTATACAAAGTTTCATGCCTTATGTAAAGAAATATTGTACATAGAACACCGCACATGAATCAATCAAGACTCATTGCATCCAGATTAGTCACAGAA